TCCAATCCAAACTTCAGCTTGATTGAATTCTATATGCAATTTGAGAGTGCCATGGATGCACAAAGACACTCTAATGCTAAACTAAATTCTGATTGTGAGTCTTACTTTCCAACATACAAGACTCCATTAGCAATAGAGAGATATGCCGCAACAGTATACACACTATCTATTTTTTTCGATGTGCAATCTGAGATTTGCTCCGCGTGTTTTTCTTGTCGCGTTACAAGCCTACGTGAGGTCGAAGGTAATTTGGAGTACTTGATTTTAGATGAACGTGGTTTGAAATTTACTGTTCATTGCGAATCGGATGCCACTAATTTGAGCTGCAGCTACAAATATTTTCTCCGACTAGGTTTGGTTTGCAGACATATGTTCGTTGTGCTTAAAGACTTGAAGTCTGAATGCATCCCAAATGCCCTGCTAAATACACGTTGGTTTAAGAAAGGCTGTATAAAACCATTGTTTGATATCGGTGATTCGGTGGTTGAACAAAGTGCGGCCTTGGAGGAAAAGAAGTTTGTCGTTAATCAGTTGTGGTCAAATATTCATTCATGCGTTGCAATGGTAGAAAATGATCCTTCGCTTTTGAGACAGTTTGCAACAGTCATCACGCAACAGAAGGAAGTTATTGCGTCTACAATGCAAGATGCTCAAACATTGACCAGCAAGAATAGTGTAATTCAATCCTTCTTTGGCTCCACCGCACCCACTTCAGTCAATGTTCTTCAACCTCCTCAAGCACACAACAAGGGGTCGGGCAAGAGAATTAAAAGTGCTAAAGAGTTGGCGGTTGCTCAGAGTCGACGTTCGAAGCGGTTGTGCAGAAGTTGCAATGAAATGTCATTTCATGATAGCAGAAATTGTCCCAAGAATAATGCCATTTGAGAGGCTTCGAGCTGCATTTACTAAGTTTTGATGTATACAATTTCCACTTTTTAGGATTACTTAAGTTTTTCTATAAACTGAAATTCCGAATAAACTTTATGACTTTCACAATTATTTTTTACGTATTATCCCCACAATTTAATATTGTTATTTCATATGTCGTTGTTGTGTTTGCCCTTGAAATGTATTACTCATTTATTCCTTCTTGTTTATTTACACCTGCAAATACATAGTTTGTGTAGGATGTTACACGAATTGGTTAAATCGAACATGTCTTGATTTTTTCTTAAACCAAACATGCTCATTTTATCCTATAATTGATTTGCAGCCAACTCCAGCAAGTCTTTCAATGGTGTTATATTAGTATTTCGTACTGACCAGACCCACTCTTATATAAAAGATTTGCACCTGTGTTACTTGCAAGTTCAGTTTTTCAAGTACCACCTTTGTTAGCTAAAAAACATGCCCCTATCTAGAGCATATTCTGAAATTTGCATTACAACATAAAATAATGGTGCAAAAATAACCTTTTATATAACTTCGGGGTACATATATTACATATGCAAGTTTGTGATACTTATCTCATATCTAAGAGTAATAACATAGTGCTTGTATTTTCATATTTAAAATTGATTTACTTCTATTTTAGAATTTTATTAAATTATTTGATACATGTGCTAATTTAAAAAATAAATTAAGATATTATTCATATCATAATGGCGTTTGGATCGACAGTGCTGATGATATTTGCAATTCTGCTGTTGCTTATTACTCTGACTTACTTAATGCAGATGATGAAACTGATTCCCTTGACCATGCGGATTACCTCAGGAATATTAAACAGATTATCTCTCAGGAGGATAACATTCACTTAATGAGGCCTATTACTAAAGATGAGCTCAAGGAAGCTGTCTTTAGCCTAGGCAAAAACAGTGCCCCTGGAATTGACGGCTTCGATGGTGTTTTCTACCAATGTGCTTATGCTATCATTGACGATGATCTTTTTAACGCTGTGCTTGAATTCTTCTGTGGGGTGCCTGTCCCTAAAAGCATTGGGCATACCTTGATTGCCCTTATCCCTAAAGAGCCTAATGCTTACAAGTTTTCCAAATTCAGACCTATTAGCCTTAGTAATTTTTCAAATAAAATTTTTACTAAAATTCTCAATAATAGGATTACCCACCTGCTGCCCAAAATCATCTCTGATGAGCAATCTGCCTTTTAACCAGGCAAAGAAATCTCTGACGGTATTCTTGTCCTTAGGGAATTGGTTAATCACATTAATAAAAAGACACGTGGGCATAACATTATTTTTAAATTCGATATGACTAAACCTTTTGACCGTATATCTTGGCCTTTTATTAACAGTGTCCTTCTTAGCTTTGGTTTCCACCCTGCCTTTATTAAGCTTATTATGAATAATTTGCATGCTACTTGGTGCTCGATTTTGATTAATGGCGCTCCTAAAGGTTTTTTCAAGCCTTCTAGGAGCGTAAAGCAGGGTGATCCCCTCTCCCCCATTTTGTTTATTATTGTGGCTGAAGTTCTATCCAGGAATTTAAAGCTGTTTTACTCTTCTGGGAGAGGTACGCCTTTTAATAAGTTTTATCTTATTTCTAAACATTCAAAATTCCACAATTGCAATGTTGTGAACCATATCTTCCATATCAATAAGGGCTCTTTCCCCTTCACTTATTTGGGAGCCAGGATTAGCTCGGGGCGCACCCTTAATGCGCATTTTGATTTCATTTTGACTCAAATTGATAATAAACTTTCGGGCTGGAAACACAGGATCCTTTCGACCGGTGGTAGGATAATTTTGATTAATCGTGTCCTTAACTCCCTACCCCTTTATCATATGGTTGTTTCCCCCATCCCTATTACTGTGATGCGTAATATGGAGCGTAAACTTGCTAATTTTCTTTGGGACAATAACAAAAATCATAAAAAGCACATTTGGCGTAAGTGGGCCAAAGTTTGTTATCCTATTATTGAAAATGGGCTTGGTTTTAGGAGTCTCCTCCATATTCAAAAAACTTTCTTTATGAAACTGCTTTGGAAACATAAAAATGGTAAAGGGATCTGGGCGTCTTGGGTCAGTTATCTTAAGGATAATACTTGCTCTATCATGTATAACTCTCTTGCTTCTGTTCGGCACACTTTTGATAGTAATTGTTATGTACAGGTTAATAATGGGTGTAGTTCATTTTGGTACTCTAATTGGTGTAACCTTGGGCCCTTTTACCACTACCAGGATGCTATCACCCCCACTGAGGCCAACTTGACCATAAGGGATGCCATGCCGGATTCTGTTGTGAAACCTGCTGTCCAAAACAAGCTGCCACGCTATGTCATTGACACTCTTCACGCTATGAATATTCAGTTTGGTATCAACAATGATACCAACATTTGGCAACGGAATCCTAATGGCATGTTCAGTTTTAATAGCGCCTATGATGTCATTAGACCAAAAAATAATTTGAGTCCAAGAGCCAAGTACTTATGGAACACCCGTATCCTGAAAAAAATCTCTTTCTTTTTATGGAGACTCAACAATGATCTTTTACCATTTCCTGTCAAACTAAACCTTTTTGGCATACATGGCCCCTTCAAATGTCCTTTTTGCAATAACATGGATACCATAGATCACTTTTTCCTTCATTGCTATTTTGCTACAACTATTTGGCATCACTTTGAAACCATTCTAGATTTCTGCCCTGTTAAGTCTGGTACCTTCATTAATTACATTAATAATTGGTACCTTGACTACCATGGCCCTATTATTGACTTCAATTATCTTTTACCCAACATAGTAACTTGGCATCTTTGGAAGGTCCGTAATAAGGTCCTTTATGAGATAACAAACTGGGTCATATACCTGAGACTATAAATGCTATTAAATATGATATCTTTGCCATTTCAGTTGCCAAACCCCTCAATGCCACCATTCTCACTGCCCCTTTTAACATCCAGATGATAACTCCCAGAAAGAGCCCTAAGACTGCCACTCTTAGCAGCTGGATCAAACCGCCGATCAACACCTATAAAGTTAACTTGGCTACCAGAAGGCTCACGTCCAACATCACCCGCTCGGCTGCCATCAGCCGTAATAATGAAGGAAGTTATATTGGGCATGCAACCCATTTGGCTAGCCACAACCAAACAACCAATGCCTCCTATGATGCCCTTGATTATTTCATCCCTCTCTTAAACAACATTATGCCTACTAACGTTATCTTTGAGGTTGATGATAGGAATGTTTATGAAGGGGTTGCTGGTGTCTCACTTCAACATTGGAAATATTGGCCAAAGATCCACAAAATCCAGAAAAAAGTCAAAACAAACACTTGGTCGGTCACCTATGTTAATCCAAAAATTGACAGAGCAGTGGAATTCCTTGCTTACCACAGCATGTCCATCAAAACCAATGGTCATCATTTTAGTCAATTTGTTGGTATTCTTAAGTTTGATCCTGTAAGTTTCCCATATGTTGTGTAATCTTTCATTGAGTAAGCTTTGGTCTAGCCCTCTTACTTATGTATACTTTCCTAATTTTAATACATTGGTGAGGTGTTTCCTGGCCCTCACCCCAAAAAGTCTCGGGTTTTTGGCTTAAACCGGGTTCAAAAAAAAAAAATTGTGCTATTTCGATGTATAATTTTCGAACATAAATATCGCTTGCATAAAGTTTAACAAGATCTATAGACTTGCTTGTAATTCCACATTTTCATAATTTAGCAACATTCACGCACTTAGTCATAGGACTCATAGGATAATTCGACAAATAAATGAATGTTTTTGTCACTGTGAGAAAGTGTAACATTTTAACCTATGTTGTAAAAACTGGACCGGTGAGTGACCCGGCCGAGCGACTGGGTCACGGGTCAACCCGGTCAACGCCGGGAAAACCCGGTCAACAGTCAACACATATATTTATATATATATAAGGTTAAATTCATAAATAGAAAAATCTTGATCCTTAATAATTTAATATTGCTCATACAATATAATCCAATTAAAAAATCATTATTATAGAGTTGATTTTAAGTCTTTTAACAAAATTGGACAATAAATATAGCATGGCATCAATTATAAAATCTTAAAAATATAATAGAAATATGTATTCACTTATATAATTGTAATATGACATAAGTAGAACATAACTGGAAGTATAACGTTGCTCTGCATAATTATTGTTACTATTAATGGTTTAATTTACTAATTATTTGGTCAACAAAAGTTAACTAATTGATTAATGCTTAAGTGTGAAGTAAAATGGTACGTTGTACCGAGTATAATAATATTAAAGTTGCAAAATTTAACATGTTCTAGTTGTAGACCGGTTGAGAGGCTATGTTTCATCCCGAAGGTCGTGAGAATGTGAGATCGAATCACGCGTGCAGCATGTCTTGCCAAAGTCAGGGTTTTTGCTAATTTCCAACATATTTTGGATGAACCAGGTCCAGACCTACATTATTCCAACAAAAAAATCTCCAAAATTTAACCAATTAGAATTCAGGAAATCATCCAAGTAAATACCACCATTCATATTAAGATTTCATGGGAGTAACTGAAAATTGGCAAACACCAAAACATATATGCAATTAGGCAATGCATTTATATTTTATTCACAAGCGAGTTTGGTGTCAAAGCTGCTCAAACAGATGGCGAATGCCTGAAAGGCAGACAAAGGATATCTATAATCCATGGTGAACATATCTTCTCCAACCTTCCCAAACTGCAATATGATCTTTTCAGGATCAGACCGGTGGGCTGGCTGAACTGGCGGCAGTGTCTCTGCAATCAGCTGGAAATTCTTGACAGAAGCAACAGTTACCCTTCCCCTAAAATTAAGGCACCAGCACTGCAACTGTTCATGCCACCTGGGTGGCTTATTCCCAAGCACCAAAAACCCCCCTTCCTTCACACCATCTCCATCGCCTTGTTCTTCCTCATGCCACCGAGCACTGCTGAACTCAGATGAATCATCAATACATTCTGAAAAGGGTATGCTCCTCCGGAATGAGCTGCCCTCAAGTGGACCCAGGACGGTGGCACCGGGCTCAAGAGATGAAGCAGGGATGGAGTACATGAAACAGTGCATCTTCCTTGGGCCCTTTGTGCCGAGAACATTCACTTCATATGTGACTTGTGCAATGGTGTGGCTTCCTGTAGGGACTTTGGGGAAAACTTTCTTGTATTGTGGTTTTTGAGTGTCATAGATTATGAATTTGGTGCCAAGAAAGTTTGATCTGAAACATATAAGATCTAATTACTGTTAAATAAAATCGCACTCCATGAAGGTTATAATATCAAATTACATGTCGAGCTCCATGCTAACTTATCCACAATCACAAGCAATTAAATGGAGAAGATAATAGAGGAAAGTTGGAAGGAATAAAGGTTTGGGGGAAAACAAAAGAGAGGTTCAAACTCAAGAAAGTTTGTTCTAGTTTTTTTAAACTCCATTTATTTATTAATTGCTGTAATAGAAAAACACTAAGAAACCATACATGCAGAAAAGATTAAAAGACTAGTCTTAAGTCATTCTCCTTCGCATTTTCCATGATAAAACAAAACGAGAATAATTTTTATTGATATTTTTTTCTTTCCTGTCATTTCCTGTGAGACAAACATAACCTAAATGAGTAGTGGGCAGTCATGGGTAAGTGTCTTATCCATGTGTTTTCTACTTCACAATCTCGTTTTCTCATAGTTCCTTCTACTGTTGGTCTTTGCTTCTTAATTTTCTTTCTTTTGTGACTTTTGTGTACATCTTGTCTGAAAGCCCTGTCTGTTATCTTGAAAGACATGATCATGCAGAAACAGAAATCTGTACTGGTTTTTCCCAGGGTAGTTTACACACAGTATATATGAAGGCAGGATATAATTAAGTTCCAAAGGAAACAGACCTAACTTTTCCCATGCAAGTGTTTGTAGACCGAGATATGTTATCCGCATCTAGTGAGATAATATATTCTGTGCGTGTAGTCTTCCGGCTCCGCTTAGCAGAAAGAAGAAACTTTCCATTTTCTACCAGCAAGTCTGTGAAAGAAACAACACATTAATGTCACTGTATGACATACACTGCTTTTTAATGATGTGCAACAAAGATGTTTCAGAAAAACTTGTTTAGATCCCCACCCTAATCGTCATTCTTTAAGTCTTTTTTTGGTTTAGAAGAAGGAAGGGAAGGGGAGTGGAAGAAAATGCAATAGTTTCAGATGTTATGTTTGATTCAGTGGAGGAGGGGAGAGGACTAGAGGAGGAAGTATTGTTTCAAAAGAATGTATTTATTGAATTAATGTTTGATGGATTACAACTTTTTAATACTTTAAAATATACGTAGTACGTAGTAATCTATATGTAAAACAATGATAGCGTAGAAAGTTTTGATTCTTCAAAAGCAAAAAAAGTATTATAAAAATATAACTCCTCCAAAATACCCTAACTGGAAGAGTCAGATATGAGGAATATGGAGGAGTCTATATCTCGTCCACTTTTCTCCTCTTCCCCATTAACTACCCTAACCAAACCCCCCACCATTTCCTCACTTTCCAGTCTTTTCTACCATTCCTTCCTAATCATACCAACAAGGACTTAAAATCTAATTTGACCAGAGTGTCAAACTGTCATCATGGTGACAAAACAAACTTCATGTCAACAACGAAATTGATGCAAGCAACACCTTCAACAGAACATCGAGACTCGAAAGTGGCTCCTAATATCAGGTCACTATGCAAAACCTAATTGTTACTGAAAAGGTATATCAAAATGAAGTTTTACATGAAACAAGTTTAGAATCACAAAAATCTTTCACAAAAAATAAGTGAATCAATGAAAAGCTTTTCTTCAAAGAAGAGTTACCTGGGCTAAGACAGAGGAAAAGGCGGTAAGTTAGTTTAGATTTGTCTCTCTTAATGAAGCACTGAATGGTTCCATCCCGATGCCCTGGCTGTAGAGTCAAACAGACATGAAATTATTAACGTGTATCCATCGTCAACACCCCCCCAAAAAAGAGAGACATGCTTGTAATACAGACTTAAGTAATACAAACAAGCCTCTTGTTAATGAGACCAAGGGAGTAATTGTTTTTCCCTATTATTACTCATAAGTTCATGACTGCAGTTGACTTAGTTTAGAAGAAAATAATTAGACGTTAGTGGTATGTTTAAATCCTAAAAAATCTAGACAAAGGGGGGGGGGGGTGGATACTAAGAAAAGTTATGTATTGTGTCTGGTTATTCCATAGAAATGCAAAAGGAAATGAAATATGATTAATGCCTCAGCAACTTTTACACAAGGGCGGAGCCAAGGGGGGGTCAGGGGGGTCAGTCGACCCCGCTGAAAGTTTGAGAGCATAGAGCTCTGAAATATCTTCGATTTGATATATTATGGCCCCCGTAACTCATTACGAGTAAAAAGTTATGACTTCTGCAAAATCAGCACTATCTAAACGTAAAATCAGCAAAATTTGATGAGTAATATTGATTTTTTCCCCCAAATTTTAAAATAGCGTATAATTAACTCATTACTTACGTGACATGACTCAAAAATAGAGCAAAAACAGTCTCTTTTATTGTTACGAGTGCCTATTTATCTAAACTACATATAAAATATTCAACTCGGACATTGTTTGGAAACGATCCACCGTTTTCATTTTGTATAAAGTTGATTCTCGACCCCCCTGGACCGTATTTCTGGCTCCGCCACTGCTTTTACATATGTGTGGTTAAACACAATGAGTTTGAACAAAAACAAAAAACAAATACAATGACATTGAGAAGCTCATTTAATTTCCCACACATTTTCTTTCCGCCCAAATTTCCTCTATAGCTGTTTTATTTTCCAAGCATGTTCTGTGTTCCAAATGAACCCTAAATAAAATTGCAGGAAAATGTTTTTACCTGCTTCAGAGAGACAGGGAAAGTCAGCTTTCCTGATAACTCAGGAGTAAGAACAATTTCCATGCACATTACTCTCCATGCCCGGCAAACCCCAGCGCAGGCAACAACATGCTTGCGGGTTGGCCATGTACTCTCATGGGTCTCTAGCCTTTTGATTACATCGCGAAGTAATTCCAGCGGAAGGCTGGCCCAACAGCTGCTTTGGGTGATGATGGCAGGTTGGTCATGCAACTCGTGGACTGCCCCATGAGACTTTCCACCCCTCTGTTGACTAGTCAATCTAAGCTCGAAACTCCGCCTTGATAAACTCCCAATACTATCCCTTATATCACGAGCTATACTTCTAAAAGACATTTACTTGCTTTATGTACGCTTGACCTCTGAGATGAGTTCATCCAGACTAGATAGTAGATATACCTAAGAAAGTATGGGTTTCAGACTTTAAGCAAAACAAATTATGCATACCTTAGAGACAAAGAAAACAAAGTGATGGAAAAGCACAGAGCAAGTCAAGAAGATTCCCTAACCAAAAGAAATCCTCAAATTGAGCTCTTAAAGGTGTCTTATCCAATCTTTATAGCTCTAATTATTTTATACGGAGTATCAGTTCACAGAACCAATTACAACTAGTTATGAACAAATATTACCCAACAATCTACAAACTAGAAATTAGGGGAAATAAGCAAGAAGCAGCTTTTGTTTTAAGTTTTCTATATACGAGTACAATACATCTGCTAATTTACGCAAACAAAACCCAGTAGTTCAATTAGCTTAGCTAGCGGAGGTGAAAACACAAACCCTAGACCTGAAAAATAACTCTCAAACTTCCCATCAAATCTTTGAACAACAAAAGGTAACTTTATCAGATGTTCACGCCCCACAATAACTGGAATCGCTTCCACGAACTGCACAGCTGATAAAGCGTTCAACAATCTCAGCAAGGGAAAAACGAAATTTTTACCCAATTTATACTCACATATAGGGAAGAACAGCTAGAAGGAGCGCAAAAGTAAAATCTTTTTCGGTAAAGATACATACAGCTTGACAGTTTTAAAGAAAATGATGGAAAGGAAGTTTCATAGGAAATAGCCGTAGTTTTGGTTAGAAGAGATGAATGAACATAGAAGTGATTGAAACTCATCCAGTCATCCCAGCTGTACGAGTCGTACCTAGAAACCCGTGATAAATCCACTTCACCAGCTTCGTCTCGTTTTATTATTTCATTTTTTTGGCTGAAACACCTTGGCGGCTTAATTATGGTTCGTTTGGTTGGTGGGGAACTTAATTTCTTGGATACGTATATTATACAACCGGCTGTACGGTGAGCACCGTACCGCCGGCCCAGTTACAGGCCCAAGGGAAAAATAACAAAATAATTCGGTGGTATTTTTGTAATTAATGTGAAAATCGTGGTTTCTGCTAAATGAGCATTAGTGTACTGCTAATGAGCAATAGTCCAATTATAATGAGTATTAAGAGTCTAATAATGAGCATCGTGTTATTACAAGAAAGCGGATATCACAACTAAAAAACGGTGGCATTTTCGTAATTTCAGTGAAAGTCGCGGTTTTCGTTAGATGATCATTAATACACTTTTAATGAGCATCAGACGTATTCTACTGAGCATTAAGAGTCGAATAATCAGTATTGTGATATCAACTTCATATATTGTAGTTCACTTTCTTTTCTTGTTTTTTTCTTTTATAAATCTCAGTATATTATATCTATAATCAATTCATATGAATTTCAATATGTGAATCTAATATAATGTGATACTTTTGAAATATGCATTGTTATGACATTTTAAAAATGAGCACCTCGGTACCAAATGAGCATGTGTAACGTACAAATGAGCATTGATATGAAAAACGTAAGTTTTGTCAGTTGAGCATCAAACCTCCTCTATTGAGTATTAGGAGATATCATGTAATTTAGTGAGCATCAGACATGTTTTGTTGAGCATTGGAAGCCTAACAATGAGTATCGTGATCTGCTTTATATATTCAAATTCATTTTCTTTTTCTTATTTTTCCTTTTTAAGAATACTTGTTAAATATTATCTATATTCAACTTCAATATGTGAATCTAAGGTAATATGCAACTTTTGAAATATGCATTTATATGACATTTTAAAAATGAGCATAACATGAGTACCAATTGAGCTTAAGTTACTCACAAAATGAGCACTTATACGAAAATCATAAGTTTTTAGTCGAATTTCAAGACATTTTTATTGAGCATCAAACCTTCTCTATTGAGTATTAGAAACATGCAATTGAGTATCATGGTTTGTGCTCCTATGTTTATGATCAACTGCTACATGAATGTAATTTAATATGGTACTTTTGAAATAGGCATTTATATAATATGTTAAAATGAACATAACATAAGTACAAAATGGGCACACATTACTTACCAAATGAGCAATGATATGAAAATAATAAACTTTGTTAGTTGAACATCAAAAAAAATTCGCTGAACATCAAAACTTCTTCTATTGAGTATCAGAAGCATGCAATTGAGTATCATAATCTAAGTATCTAACTCTTATGTGAATCTAAAATGATACTTTTGTTATCTGCATTAATATGACATTTTAAAATGCGCATAAAACTAATATCAGATGAAATACGTAACTTACAAAATGAGTATCAAAAAATTTGAAAGCTCGTTTGAATTCTCTAATGTATTCAAATGCACAGACAAATATAGTAGTTTATATTAAAAATAAGGAAAAATAACTTTAAATAATATCAACTATCATCCATGAACCAATAATAATACAAACTTCGAGAATAACTTTTAATAATACCAACTATTTGAATGTAAAACAAAAATAATATGAAGTCATTTTTTGAAAAAGAATTTGATTATTTAAGACATCAAAAGCCAATGATAATCAATCAAATAAATGATATTTGGAAATATATTTACTAATTAGATATTTTTATATAAGTTTTTGATGAGTTAAATGGTTGAATATTTAGCAAAAAAAGCTCTATATCACTTTTGGTTTATATCTAAATAGTTGGTATTATTGAAAGTTATTTTCAAAGTACGTATTATTCTTGGTTCACGGAAGATAGTTTGTATTATTTAAAGTTATTTTCCCTAAAAATAATTTATAATCTTTCGTTCTCGAATTACAAATATAATCGGGTTCTTTTATAATGTTTTACCCATGCATATTTATTTTACACTATACTCATTTTAGTATAACACAAAACTCATGTTAGTAATTAACACACGATATTTAAGAACTACGTAGTAATATCTATTTGTCTTAAAATTAAAAACAGAAAAATAAAACATTAATTCGTAAAAAACCATAAGTTAGAAGATCGACTTTTTTTAAAAAATAAAGTTAGAAGATTGATTGAGAAAAACTCGTACATTGTAGTAATATTTTATATTTACATTTTATCATAATTGAATAAAAAATTAAAGAAAAAGGTCCTTGAATAAAGAAAGAAACAACAAGTAAAAGACTAAAAGGCTGCAACCTAGAAAGTACGTATAAAACAAAAGAAAAAAGAAAATAAAAAAGTAAAACAAGGAATAGCAGAGCTCGACGGCGGCACAAACGAGAATAAGGGAGTATTTGCGATTGCTTGTGCTTTTTAAAAGTGATTTTTTTAAGAGATTATTGGAAAAGTGATTTGTAGTAAAAGTAGGTAGTGTTTGGAAATAGAAGTGATTTTAGTTAAAATGTAAAAGTTGGAGTGTTTGATAAAAAAGTGATTTTTGATGTAGTTTTTTTGTAAAGTACAAAAGTGCCCTTTTCCTTTAATATTTTAGTGTTGGCAGACTGTCCCTTTCCCTCATCGATCACTCCTTCCCTGCGATAACCAGTAGTGCCGCATCGGAGCAGAAGAAAAGGAATCCGCAGAATCAATAGCTATTCATGGATACTCTAGACTAGAAGAACTTCAATCGGCTCTAATCCATGGTTATTCGCCGGAGTTCCTCTCAACAAAAGCAATCCGCAGAATCAACCGGCCACAACCTTGGAGATCGCCGCAGCAGCCGCACCGCAGCTCTTGGACGTCACCTTCTCCGTCACCACCGCCGTCGCCGTCGCCGTCTCGGTGGTGAGCCGACTTCTTGACGTCTTTGGAATGAGTGAGCTCCATGGATCTAGATTTCTTCCCATGGAATATATATATATATATATATATATATATATATATATATATATATATATATATATATATTGAGGGCTCTTCTCATCAGGCCGTCCTGACGGGCTGCCCCGTCCGGCCGAGCCCGTTTGGGCACCTTCCCGGTGGAATTTTTTGATGAAATTTTTTGAGCATGTTCTTCATCAAGTCTAGTTTGTCCATACCAAATTTCAGCTCAACATTCGATCGGGAAGGTCGTCAAATGATTTTTGCAAGTTAACTGGTCCGGAAAATACATTTTCCGGACCAGTTAACTTGCAAAAATCATTTGACGACCTTCCCGATCGAATGTTGAGCTGAAATTTGGTATGGACAAACTAGACTTGATGAAGAACATGCTCAAAAAATTTCATCAAAAAATTCCACCGGGAAGGTGCCCAAACGGGCTCGGCCGGACGGGGCAGCCCGTCAGGCCGGCCTGACATGAAGTTTTCTCTATATATATATATATATATATATATATATATATATATATATATATATATATATATCATAATATTTATGTGTATGTGTGTGGGGAAGGGAAAGATGAAGGGAAGGGAAAGATGAATTGCAGAGACCTACGTAGGATTGCTGGGGAGAGATGAAGGGTATTTTGGGTTTAATTGGGTATAACATTATCTCTAAAGTTGGAGTTATTTACAATATTACCTAAAAGCACTAAAAAGCATCACTTGGGTAGCTTTAAGATTTTGGCTTAAAAGCACTTAAAAAAAACAGAATCTAAGGTTTGCAAACACCATTTTTAACTTTTCCAAAGCTAAAAGCTCCAAAGTGCTTAAAAAAAGCAAATGCAAACACTGCATAAGAGAAAGTGGAGCAGCATAGCTATTAGCCTTTAACTTAGAATTTAATTACAAAATAACCCGGCTGTACCATGCTCTATGTACAGCCGGTTGTACGATTTAAATTACCCATCCAGTCATCCCAGCTGTACGAGTCGTACCTAGAAACCCGTGATAAATCCACTTCACCAGCTTCGTCTCGTTTTATTATTTCATTTTTTTGGCTGAAACACCTTGGCGGCTTAATTATGGTTCGTTTGGTTGGTGGGGAACTTAATTTCTTGGATTGAAGTTCTTTTGTAAATTGGCCTTTTGGCCCGGATATTACTAAAAATAGGATAAAAGACAAAAAAGTTAAACATTTTTAAAAAATCCAAAAATGTGACCAACAACAAATTAGCTCCTGCAATCCAAAGTGACTTCGGCCAAAGTGACTCCGGCCAAGTGACTGTCCAACGGTCATAGTGACTGACCCACCGCCACAGTGACTGTCCCGCCAGCCCCAGTGACTGCCCCGCCGCTATAGTGACTGCTCCGCCGGCACAGTGACTGCCCATCCACAGTGACACTCCGTCTCGGTCATAGTGACTACGACAGAAGTTACTCCGAGCACAGTGGCTGCCCACCGGTCACAGTGACACACCAACTCCATTCATAGTGACACGCCGTCTCCGGTGTCCCTGCGCTATCGCCGCCCTTACCACATCCATGGACTACCGTGGACTGCCGTCACAACCACCACCTCAAACCCATTCACGTCCCCAGCCCCTCCCTCCTTAGCCCCCGGCCACCTCCCCTCCAGTCCCCCTACCAGCTCCCCTCTGGTCCCCCTACCACCTCCCAGCCCAGATCTAGCCCAAACTGCATCCAAACGGCCAGATCTAGCCCTAACCAGCCCCTTCACAACCGTTGCACCATATCGACATTCAGTCCAGTAGGAAAGAATGGAAAAAACGAAGATTAGAGAATCTACGATGGCGGATGCAGAGGCGGCGCGACGTGGAGAAAGACGGTGACGGCGAGGCAGAGCAAAGTGCGAGGACGGTGCTAGATCTGGAGAAGGTCAACGCCACCAACAGAGAGAAGAAATAGAAGAAGTTCGTAGCTAGGGCGAGCACGAGGGCGGCGACGAAGGCGGCGAAAACCAGTGCGAGATTGGTGGCGACGTTTCGTTCCTCTGTCCGCGGAGGGCGACGGCAACGACGAGGAAGGTAGCGGAGGAAGCACCGAACCTCGTGCTCCGTCTCTGCGATCTGCAGCGGCGATCTTAAGCGGCAATCTGCTCCTTGGGTTTTGAAC